AGTGTTTAGCATGCTTAACTTTGATGTCATATTTTGTATACCATGGGTGTATGGTATTTTAGAAGCTTATGTAGCTTTCTTGATGTGTAATGATACTTAAGTTTTTACTTTTGACATTATAAACATGTATGTAAAGAGGCCAAGGGCCAAGTATGTTTACTTTTGCATTTATACTCTTTTGGTATCAAACTTTTCTTCAAAAATGTATTTTAACCATCTTGGAGGTTTGCCACATGAAATTCTTATAATTGACATGTTCATATATTCAATCTTCCTTAAAATGAATCAATTTTTAATCTATGCACGTGGGTAGAATGAATCCCATAGGTTCCATTGCAATTTCACATGTTTGGAGGACCTTTCAGCAACATTTCGAGGAATTTCGGTCAACCGAAACACCATCTCGATCGACTGATCCCTTTTTGAGACCAAATGAACAGTAAAACCATGTTTGTAGAAAGCATTCTGTGAGTTTCGGTTGACTAAAACTCTAATTCGGTCGACCAAAATAGCCCCTGTGCACCAGCACTTCCATATTTCAATTTAGCACTGATGGTCCAACTTCAAAAGGCCATAACTTCTTTGTTCCTTATCCAAATAGGATGATTCTTGAGTCTAAACTCAAGGATTTTGAATCAGATTTCCAATGGTACCTATTCAATTCTCAGATTCCAAACACAGTGGAAGTTATTCATATTTTAGTGAAGTAGTGTCAGTTTTCACTTCAACCGGGAAAAGGTAATTTGTGGGATTCTTGGCCAATGTTTTTAAAACATCTTGGAATGTTTTGAAATGATTACATTAGGTTGTATTCACCTTTTTTGACTTGTTTAGAGTCAAGTTTCTCTCTTTAATTGCGAATTGACCGTTTTGCCCATTTGATAACGAATTTTGTCCTTTTTGACCTTTGTTTCCGCTTTTGCTCTCTTTAAGTCCCGTGATCTCATGAAAGGTCACATTAGTGTCTTAGGAGTGATTCCTATCTCTTAAGACCTTGGTTTATCATTTGCTTTCGCATTTCGGATCTGTTATAGGATTAACTTTCAGTTCATCACTGACGCACCGGGTTGAAAAACTTGGGCCGTCACAATCGTAGTACCTTTAGTCCACTTAAAAATGCAACAAATTTTCTACCTAAGAAGACTCTACACTAGGCATATGGGTTTCTTCCTCAAAAAGCACATACTCGTAGTCCAAGAAACCCAATATAATATCAAAACCTGTCTTCTAAGCAATACAATTTTAATTATTCAATAGTTTAATCCCTATGAACTGTCTTTAAATTGCGGAAGCATCTGTAACCTGAGTAAATGTTATATTGAATAACACCACATAAACAACATATAAAATAATATGTCACAGTTTTAGGGATTATTACTTTAATTCGTGCTTGGGGTTTTAAGCTGAATTTCTCAGGGTGCTTACTATGTGCAAAACTATCCACCCTGCGGGAATAAATAAAATGTCATCTAAAAAACACCTTTTGGCATAATTTTAAATTTTACTTTACTCACAGACCTGTGATAAAATCGCACATAGACCTATTTGATTATACTTGAATTATTGCTAAACATTTCCACTACCTTTTGGCAAGAGGGTTATTTAGTTATAATTCAAGCACTCTCAAATATTCTACTCACTTATCCCACACTAAGACATTGATCACCATTTGGCAGAACAAATGCTCTCATGTAGGTAAGTGTACTGTAAGACCTTAATAAGACCAATGCCTTAAAAAAAAATTTAAAAAATAATAATAACCTCTGTGAGCGTGTCACTTTTTGGCAAGCATCACTCGCTTTGGCTACCACCTTTGAAACGATCACTTTACTGGTCTTCCTAAACCCCAAGGAAAGACCTAAACTGTAAATGTTCCATTTTATTTGTGTTCATATTTATTTATTTAGTGCACATAAGCCAAACCCAAAATTATGGAACATTTAATTTCACTGTAACACAAATGGCTCTAACACAAATAAAATCAAGCATCCTCATACATATATCAAGAAATTACAGTGAACGATATATTAATAACATGCATATCTATCAAGATTTAAAATCTCAATTCTTTATATATTTTAATTAGAAGAAAATAATGAAAAACTTGATGCATGTATTATATATCCAATAACACTTTAAAGCCTTTGAATCCTTAAATCAATTAGGTTAATACTGTTTGATTATGGCACGCAAGTCCTATAGATTTTTCAACCTAAAATTAAACAATTAAACTTGAATCCTTAGAAGTAATTAGCAAACATAAGAATTTGCATTCTTCACCAGCCATGTTCACTGAGATAACTATATACATGTCCACAATTTCATGCCAATCTTATATCTAATTAAACCTTTAATTAAACTCAGTAATATAAAACCAATCTTTTTGATTAGTTTTGAAGAAAAACAAAACTTGACAGTTTTATTTTCATACACACATTAACTTATATACACATGGATAGACTTTTAACTTCACATATACCAATATATAATTCTCACTAAATCAACCATTAAACATCATTCTATTTTAGTGCAGACAAATTAAGATTCTCAATCTCATTATAATTTGATCACAAGAAAATTCTCAATGTCACTGTACTTTATCATGGATTACTTTAAAAAATATTGTGCACGCAGTTTTATGTTCAGTACATGTTAACATGGATTAATGCCATAGTAATTAAATATTCATCAAATTTCAACATCAAATCCAATAGTTTGTTCATATATATATATATATATAATCATTCTGACAAAATCAGAACTTTGGTTTCAAAAGAAACAACCTGATAATATACATCATACCAACCAACGTATCTAAGTACATATATATATATATATATATATATATATATATATATATATATGTATGTATGCAATTCAATACCTTTTAAGAAACATGAATATAAGTGCACACAATTCAAGACATTCTAATCCATAAGCTCTAACTTTATATATGTAATATATTCATTATATACCTCATCAACAGGTAGTCAATTGGGACGTGAAAAGCTTTGTTAATTGGTAGAACCTTTATTCCTTTTATCTTCTAAGAGATTCATCATACATCAAGTAATATAAGGTTCATTGCAATCAACGTATACACCAAAATAATGAAAATCGCGAATTAATTCGCTGAATCTACATGTATTAAATATTGACAGCATAATCAATTCTTAAATCGATTAGTATCATATTGTTGTCAATAAAAAATATGTAATTCATTTTTTTCTTCTTCTTGATTTCTACAATATAAATCCTAATTAAACTTGGCTCTGATACCAATTGTTGGGTTTTATTTCAAATTAAACCATGTAGAAATCAAGAATACTTTAATTATTTCAAGAGTAATTTAGACTCATACCTGATTGATGATTAACGCATATATACCTTTAGAATATCTATGTAATCCTCTGTGAGTTCCTGCAAAACATTAGAGCGCTTTACCCCTTCTGAGAATTGTCAATACGATAAGTCTGAATAAGGATTTTAAAACCCTTATATATAACAACAACAGGGGGGGACAGCTTCTCTACAAACAAGCATATCTAAGTCTCCCTTCCTATCATGGAAACTTAGATATTAATGGTTAGAATTAAATCACACCAAATAAGTTGAAAAACCACAATCCAATGGTATAAAACCATACTCCCAATTAGACCACCAAATTGAAAAGTACTACCCAATTCATCAAGTATCAATAATCACATTGCATATATATATAAAAATTTCCAACTTTTTATTCTCATCACCGATGGATCTAAAAGAAAAAAAGAAAAAAGGAAAACAAAAGGTAAATAAATGAAAAGAACTAAGGTTGTAAATGATAGAGGTTGCAAAGTCATTTTAGTAAAATAATGTACGTAAGAAGTAATAAAGTTTAGCTTGTGTCTTTTCCACTCAACTTTTACATGGAATGTTGCGACCTCCTTAGACAAGTCAAGATGACTTAGTTGGTCCATTTGAATATATATGGTGTTTACTTTGTCAACAAGTCAAGATGACTTAGTCCATTTGAATATAAAACTTATCCACAATGTATTTACATATTTATCATGTGATAAAATATAAGGACAAGGCCATTTTTTAAGACATCTCATTCATGATACATAGATGTCAACAAGGTCGATGAAGATGAGAGCCAATTAATTTGACATGTGATGGAAAGCAACATTATTTTGTTTCATGAAAAAGAAGTAGAAGTTGTCAATTACGTTTATGATAACCGCTTGGATCGCTACAAGGTCAAACAAATACACAGATTTTTGATGTAATTTGATGAATTTGTCTTCATTGAGGGAGACTCATTCTTGATCAGAATCAAAACAATTACTAACATGCACCGTTACATTTAGCTCTAGTTTTACTTTTTCCATGTAATAGAAAGATAATGCAATTTTTCAGAATTTTTGTTGGTCGTCAAATTGGACCATGTGATTTTTAGAGATAGTGCCAAATTTGACTATTTTTAAGATTCCTTGTATTTACATCTACTACAGATTTATTAAGATATTCACCAACTTTAAGGCTCCATTTCGGTTTTCTTTGCAACTTGTGATTTATTGACAATTATTTTAACATAGTTGTCAATTTAACATAATTTTAACTCTCCCAAAACTTGCAATGATAGGAGATTTGTACACTGGCCGGTTTGCCCTTTTTCCCATTGAAGAAACATAAATAAGAAAATATATATTTTTTTTCTATTAAAAAAATGGCTACACTTTTGGATAGTTACCTTCCTTGTTTAGAATGTAAAGATGCAACAAAACGCTTTTCTATTTTAGGGCCTGTTTGGTATGCGTTGTATTTTGTAGTATTTTGTTTTAGCCTAGAACAGAATAAGTGTTTTGTAATGTGGTGTTCTGAAATGAGAATACAACATGTTTGGCGAGGAAATTTTGCGATGAGAATTTTGGAACACAAACATGGTAGAACATGTTTGGCAAGTATTAAAACATCCAAACATCCATAAACCCAATCTCTCTTTCCTCAAAACATCCATGAACCCAATCTCTCTTTCTCTCTCCTCCTCCTTCACTCTTTCCTCGCACCCATCTCACTCTTCTCTCATCGCCTCCTTTATCTCTCTGAGCAACACCCAGATCATCTCCGATTACGTTATCCGCCACCACTTCTGCCATAGAGTAGAGCCGCAAACCACCGCCGCCACTCCTTCCAAGTCCCTACCTTTCCCAGTCGGCCACGGCTTCGACCTCCACAGATCTGGGTACCCCCTCATTATCGGCGGCATCGATATCCCTCATGATAGAGGCTACGAGGCTCACTCTGATGGTAAATCAAACGACATAAATGGGTTTTGATTTTTTGAACAATCTGAAATGATATGCTGATATGGGTTTTAATATAAGTAATAGGTTTTGAACTTTTGATTCTTACAGACAGATAGATAAACTAAAATATATGGGTTTTGAACTTCTGATTCTTGTAGATTTTGTAGTTTGCAAAGGCACAGAGAGAAAGAGGGCAAGTTCAGAGTTGAGAACGAGAATAGAGATGGACGTGGGTTTTAAACTTCTGATTCTTCTAGATTTTGTACTTTGCAGTTGCAGAGAGAGAGGGGGCAAGTTCAGAGTTGAGAACGAGAATAGAGATGGAGGCGATTGGGAGGCTGAAATGATTTGCCCTAAAAAAATTATTATTTCCTCTGCTACAGTAAAAAATGGGCCTAGAATAACATAAAACACCAAATTTTTGTTTCATCTTTTGGGCTAAATAATAGATTTGTTCTGATACTGTTGGGAATAAAACAAGTCTAGACAAACATGATTTGGGCCAAAACAAGGGTGCTGTAGCAGGTCTGAAACAAAACAAAACAAAACAGAACACATACTAAACAGGGCCTTAGGAAATAATTTTCTTACAATCCAAACAACCTGCCTCTCTTCTTCTCTCTAACTTCTATTTATAGAAGTTAACATTTCCCCTAAAATACTAAATTTTTGTTTCATCTTTTGGGCCAAATAATGGATTTGTTCTGATACTGTTGGGAATAAAACAAGTAGATAAACATGATTTGGGCCAAAACAATGGTACTGCAGCAGGCCTAGAACAAAACAAAACAAAACAGAACATATACCAAACAGGGCCTAAGGAAATAATTTTCTTACACTCCAAACAACCTGCCTCTCTTCCTCTCTCTAACTTTTATAAATAGAAGTTAATATTTGCCCTAGAACCTCTCTCTTGGTCTCCAAGTTTGGGAGCTTATGGGTTGGGTCTATTCCATGGGCCATACTAGATTAGAGGCCCGTTCATAATGCTGGTCAGGTTGGACCTGACAATAGCCCAACAACGGCCTAGGCTTAATAGACCGGGCTGAATGTGGCCTAGTTGGTTTTCTTTTTGGAGGCTCGTTCATAATGTTTGTGAGGTTAAACCTGACAATGGCCCAACAACACCTTAAGAGTAATAGACTGGGCCAAACGAGGCCCAATTGATCCTCTGCCCTTTCACTTGCCCCTAATCTCTCTCTAATTTATTAGGATGAGATTAACTAGGGACATGTCATAATCCTCCTCCATTTCCTCCTCCACATGGAACAAATAAGTACTACTACCCCCATTAGAACATGGCATAGCGACAGTGTACATATCCTGACTAGGTATGGTAAACACAATAGACCTATCAAAACAATTAACTTGGGAATGGTAGTGAGATAACCAATCCATCCCAAGTATCACATCATAAGTGTGCATGTCCAGGACCAAAAGATTGGCTAGAAATCAGAGTCTGCCAGTATCTAGTGTCACAGGCCCATCACTTTCATGTAAAATGGCTGTATCGCCCAACGGTATAGAAATACCCTGAGGTCTACTGCATACCAGTGTCGTCATCCCAGACAAAGCAACAAAAGATCTAACTACAAATGAGTGCGTAGCACCCGTATCAAATAAAACACGTCCATATAAACCATGAATAGGAAACTTACCCTCAATAGCCTGAGGTGCCTGCATATCCTATGGCATGGGGTTGTACACCTTGCCATAATGTAACTACTACGGTGCCTATCCCTGAGGCTACGGCAGTGATGGTAAAGCTAGATATGCCTGTCTGTCCCTGAATCCATGGAACCTGTTGAGCTGGTAAAGGCACTGGCACCCTCTGCCCCTACTACACATACTATCCTTGTCCCTGTCCCTGTCTTGATTTAGGACACTGCTTGGAAGTATGACCATACTCTTCATAAGTATGGCAACTACCTTGGAAAGTACCAAATGGCCTTCTCTGTTGGTTAACCTATGGCTGCCTGCTTGTGGTCCCCCATGTTGTTGTCGCTGAATATGTGCCCCATCCCTGTGAGCATCGGAACCACCCTTGTGCTTCTTCCAAGGCTGCTGTCCCTGGAACTTGCCCTTGTCATTCTGTCGGTGTCCGTTCCCATTCCCTTTCTCAGCTGACTGATTAACAGAGTCTCTGTCACCCCGCTTCTCACCCTTGGCCTGTCTGAAGTCCATGGTCAACTGATACTACTATAGAGCGGCGTCTACCACCTTAGTATAGGTAGTATAGGCTGGACTACCGGTAATAGCCCTCCTGATAGACCGTATCAGTCCCTTAACAAAAATGTTGCACTTCTTTTCCTTTGTATCCACCTCATCTGGAGCAAAAAGAGATAAGCGCGTGAACTGCTGCTCATATTCTGCCACTGTCATGTTCCCCTACTGCAGATTAAGAAACTCTGTCTTCATCGCTGCCCTGACTGCATAAGAGAAGTACTTCTCATCAAAGCGAGTACTGAACTAATCACAAGTCATGGAGATCCTCTCCTCTGTGGTGGTAACTGACTCCCACCACTGTAATGCATCCTTGACGAGCTTGAAGGTAGCAAACATCTGCTTTTGAACCTCCGTGCAATGAACCAAGCGAAGATGTCGCTCGATGTCCTATTTCCACTGGTGAGCTGCTTTCGCATTGGTGGAGCCTGTAAACTCAGGTAGGCTCCCCTTTGTGAAAGAACTCCTGGCCTTTTCCTAAGTATCAGTCTGAACAACCGGTGCTGGTATCGGTGCCTGATTCTGAAGTGCAGCTGTTACCCCAGCTTCTATAGCCCAAGCAATGAGGTTATTGATATGAGTAGGATACTCTGGACCTCTGACCTGATCCTGAGCCTGTTGAACTTCCTCCTGCTCTTCATGAAACTGACCATTATCTTGAAACTCTGGCAAACGTTGCTCTTCCTCCATTAGCTGACGTTGTAGGCGTTCCTGCTGCCTACGTGTCGTTCTCCTCTGTTGCCTATTTCCTTGCAGGTTCCGTCCCCTCCTAGCGTTAACCATCTGTTAACACGGAAAGAACAGACATCAGAATGATTTAAACCGAATTGTAAATGAATACAATGAAACCTAAACTTAAGCTCTAATCAAGAGAAAACGCTAAGTGGAAGTCTTAATATGAAACATCCTAGAGACACTTGAACTTGGAGTGGTCTGATACCAACTGTGATACCCCTCGGATCCAAAACACGGGTTGATTAGGCCCAAGCCCGAACCCGAGGGAATATCTAACAATTAATATTTAAAACGAACACGGAATACAAAATGAAATAAGAAATAAATAAAAGCTGAATGAATTCTAAACAAATAAAATCCTTTAATCATTAAATACTTAAAATCTGAAATCTCCAACAGTTTAACAACTCGGGAATCCTTCCATTGGACCCCTAATACGAAAATCCAAACTGAAGAATAAGTATCTAAAAGACATCCAAAGTTAAACCATGGAGAGAAGTCCTATGTCGTTGGAAGAGTGAGTAGTAATCTCTGCTTAGCACGATCAAGTCTAAGTCTGGAACTGAAGAGTACCTGAAAAATAAAAGTGGGTCAGGCCCACGAACAAGTTCTAACCTACTACAATCCAAGCAGAGACTCGATACGCATATACATCCTAAGTAACTCAACAATAGCTAATAGTTCGTACGTAAGTATATCCACACTACAGGACTCTCACCGGACTATGGAGAGGGTCTCAACCTGAATAGAAGGCAACATGGGAAAATGTACCCAAAGGTGGGCATGAGTACCTAGACCTAACAGGGTATACCTCAACCTCTCATATCCAGCTACGCATCCTATTGCATATACGCTCCCTAACCGACGACTCTGAGACTCAAGCTCGGATCGTAGTACCATAACATATATTTAAAATCCGTCATGTCCATAGTAAGGCCAGTTAGTCGTTCAGCTTGTGCAGCTTGTTTGACTTAACATAACTGATAAGTAGTCCAATTAGTCATTCAGCTTGTGCAGCTTTTTTACTTAAATATAAGTAGGATTTTATTTTAATAATCTGTTCCCTTATTCCAATATAGGTAGGACTTAGCGTTTTAAGCTAATCCAAACCCAGTATATCACTGTCCCATACCGGTGCATACATCCCACAGCATCCAGCAGTTGATAATACTAATAACGAGAGTTAATACCAACTAGTCTATAACACATATAATAAGAATTCATCACAAGTATAACAAGAATTATGTATATAACATGCTTGTTCTGTACTACCAATACATGATTCTCTAATAAGTTTAAAACACAGAGAATATGTATAATCCATCCTATAATCCACTATGAGCATAATAATAACAATATCAGAATCAACATGCTCACTTTAAACTATTCCACGATATCTAGTAAGTTGACAAGATATAATACTGTATAGTTAGCAACTAAGTTCCCATTAACCATAACAGAGATCTATCATAATTGGCATGCTTATTTTTATAACACTGTACCATGATTTAAACCATGAATTCCTTAAGTCAATTGCTAATTTAAACATAAACAACTTGAATCATTTATATCTAAGCCAACACTCAACTTTCTGTAGAATTTCCTACTGTTTCTATCTTAGCTTCCTATGGTATCTTACGTATCACCATGCCTTCTAAAGCTTTAATATGGATTTAAAAATTACTGAACAACCCCAGAACAGCCCTTAATTCACCTTGAAACTTTAGAAATCCAAACACAACAGCCCAGTTCTCGCAGAAAACAAAAAAACTGGAAAAATCTTAAAGGAGGCTGCTCCAAACAAGTTGGAGCCACCTCTAAACAAGATGGAGCCGGCTCCAAACAACTTGGAGCTGCCTCCAAGACCTTTAGAGCCAGCTCCATGATTCCATGGAGCCGCCTCTTCCATCCTCTCTTCCTATCTGCTTGTTTTATTCAACTGCGTCATCTCCGGTGACGTCCAGTTTTTTCAGTTCTCAACTTTAATGGTTTCTACTAATTAAAATTAAGTTTTAATGCCCTAGATATTTTAAAACCTTTGATCTTAAATCCACTCTAATTAGAACAGAAAA